CCATTTCCTCAAATCCCCATCGTGTGTGTGTGTGTGTGTGTGTGTGTGTGTGTGTGTGTGTGTGTGTGTGTGTGTGTGTGTGTGTGTGTGTGTGTGTGTACTCACCTAATTGTAGTTGCAGGGGTCGAGACTCAGCTCCTGGCCCCGCCTCTTCACTGAACGTTTCTAGGTCCTCTCTCTCCCTGCTCCATGAGCTTCATCATACCTCGTCTTAAAGCTATGTATGGTTCCTGCCTCCACTACATCACTCGCCGGACTGTTCCACTTCCTGACCACTCTATGACTGAAGAAATGCTCCCTAACATCCCTTTGACTCATCTGAGTCCAAGAGTTACCCCTTGTTGTGGCTCTGGTGGCCTGGGTGGCTCTGATGGCCTGGTGGTTAACGCTCTCGCTTCACACGGTCGAGGGCCTGGGTTCGATTCTCAGCCAGAGTAGAAACATTGGACGTGTTTCTTTCCACCTGTTGTCTATGTTCCCCATCAGTAAAATGGGTACCTGGGTGTTAGTCGATTGGTGTGGGTCGCATCCTGGGACACTGACCTAAGGAGGCCTGGTCACAGACCGGGCCGCGGGGGCGTTGACCCCCGGAACTCTCTCCAGGTAAACTCCAGGTTGTTTATGTCCCATCTCTGGAACATCTTGTCTCTGTCCACCTTGTCTATTCCACGCAGTATTTTATATGTCGTTATCATGTCTCCCCTAACCCTCCTGTCCTCCAGTGTCGTCAGGCCTATTTCCCTTAACCTTTCTTCGTAGGACATTCCCCTTAGCTCTGGAACTAACTTTGTCGCAAACCTTTGCACTTTCTCTAATTTCTTAACGTGCTTGACCCGGTGCGGGTTCCAAACTGGTGGTGCATACTCTAGTATGGGCCTGACGTACTCGGTGTACAGTATCCTGAAATATTCCTTACTTAGGTATCGGAATGCTAATCTCAGGTTTGCCAGGCGCCCATATGCTGCAGCAGTTATCTGGTTGATGTGTACCTCTGGAGACGTGCTCGGTGTTATACTCACGCCAAGATCTTTCTCCTTGAGCGAGGTTTGCAGTCGTTGGCCACCTAGCCTATACTCTGTCTGCGGTCTTCTTTGCCCCTCTCCGATCTTCATGACTTTGCATTTGGCAGGGTTGAATTCGAGAAGCCAGTTGCTGGACCAAGTGTCCAGCCTGAACAGGTCTCTTTGAAGGCCTGCCTGATCCTCATCTGATTTAATTCTCCTCATTAACTTCACATCATCATCATCATGTGTGTGTGTGTGTGTGTGTGTGTGTGTGTGTGTGTGTGTGTGTGTGTGTGCGTGTAGAGGGAGGATAGACCATCCTGAGAAGTGGTAATCCCACGTAATAGTAACTCCAGCTCTGCAGGAACGGCAGGTTCAAACGCCTCCCAGACACATTTCATTACTTCACATATAAAACTCATCCTGCATGGCGGCATATAACAGGGAAACATTTTATATTAACAACATGTAACTTTTGTAGAGAAGCGTAGCTACACACTGCTGGTATTCCTATACTGTAACCAGCTAACAGAATACATCAATAGGGTAGCTGCACACTGCAGGTATACGTAATTTTCTTATACACTGTTTATCGCGGATTTTCTTTCCTCTCTCTCCCCTTTTTTTTCTTCCTGCCTCCCCCCTGGACACCAACCTCAACATTCACGCCAGGTTTGTTAAAAAGTAACACAGAAGTCACTATAACGTTATTACATTTAGGCTGAACAATTTTATATAAAAGCAAGGTTACTAACTGTATCTTTTGACTGAAGACTACGTAATGGAAATATGAAGTAGATTCTGAAACTAAATACAGTCTGAAGGAACAATACATCAAGAATATTACGTAGGTAAAGCTGGAAGAGACTGCCCATTGTAGTTGTAAGTTGAATGTCAATTTAGTCTTTCAGAATGTAACTATACAAATATAAGATTCAGGCAGGAACATTACAGGGGGTGATTGTAATCACTGAAATCCTAAGACATATGAATAGTGATGCAAATAGGTTAAGCCTCAGTGAAACGTTGTTCCAGTTAAAGCTTGTTCTCCATACTGTCTTTACACCCAGACGGGTCGGCACTTTGCCTTTATATACCCATTAATAAATCATTAATTATACTCGGAGCGAGTCCCTTTACTTTTTTTTTCTTCAAGCGGGGTGCGGGGCACACTTATATAGTAAACATATTTTGGTAAGGTTGTGGGGTGATAAAGGTGTGGTTTCCTGTGACCTTGTGTTCTCAGGATCGGCGTGACAGAGAAGGGTTACCTGACTCTTAACATGGAGGTGGAGGGTGAGGGAGGACACTCGTCCATTCCGCCCCGCAACTCTGTAATCGCCCGCCTCGCCGCCGCCGTCAGCAAGCTGGAGACCTACCAGCAACCTGCCATGTTCGGCCAGGGACCTGAGGCCGACTTCTTCGCCTACATTGCACCCAAGGTCAGCTTTACACTACTGTGCACTCCTACTTGTTTTTTATTATTATTAAAATTATGTGCTATCTTGATGCTGCGCATCACACATTTCCACACCGTTCCAAAGTGAATCCTGTCATCTCCATGGATGAAGATGAAATTTCGAGGGCTTCCGTGACCTCGGCATCACATTCTCAAGGAATGTGACAGAGATCACAAAAGCTTCTGGAATGTAACTACCATTCCGTATGATTGTATTACGTATATCACATTGTGGTTCCACTGATATATACAACATTTAATAAGGCAATAGTGCAACAACTGTTTTCAGGTGCCTGTTCCTGTATTGTTTTTTATCCAAAATGCCTATTAAATAAAGTGACTGTGACCCATTGTTCCTAGTACCACAATGTCTAGCATATTAAAGGAATAAGACCCCTCGAGGGATGTTCCTTAGGTTAGGTAATTATCATTATAATCAAAAGGAAGCGCTAAACCTACTAGGGTCATACAGCGGGGTTAGGATAGGTAAGGTTTGTCAGGAAACAGGACAAGTGTTTCCTGACGCCGGTCTTAGTCAGATGATGACCTGCGCTGGCTTACCGATCCACCCCCCTTAAAAATTATGGTCATAGATATAATGATGATGGTGGAAGTTCCTTGATGCCGACGAGGGGCTCTTGATCAAAGGAATTGAACCTGTGCTCTAATTCCTCGAATCAAGCCTGAATACTTTCCATTCCCTCAAGGCGCTGTATGACCCCATAAATGTAATAATAATAATGTCCATGGGGAAGTGGAAAAGAATCTTTCCTCCGTAAGCCATGCGTGTCGTATGAGGCGACTAAAATGCCGGGAGCAATGGGCTAGTAACCCCTTCTCCTGTAGACATTTACTAAAAAAGAGAAGAAGAAAAACTTTATAAAACTGGGATGCTTAAATGTGCGTGGATGTAGTGCGAATGACAAGAAACAGATGATTGCTGATGTTATGAATGAAAAGAAGTTGGATGTCTTGGCCCTAAGCGAAACAAAGCTGAAGGGGTAGGGGGGGTTTCAGTGGGGGGAAATAAAGGGGATTAAATCTGGAGTATCTGAGAGAGTTAGAGCAAAGGAAGGGGTAGCAGTAATGTTGAATGATCAGTTATGGAAGGAGAAAAGAGAATATGAATGTGTAAATTCAAGAATTATGTGGATTAAAGTAAAGGTTGGATGCGAGAAGTGGGTTATAATAAGCGTGTATGCACCTGGAGAAGAGAGGAATGCAGAGGAGAGAGAGAGATTTTGGGAGATGTTAAGTGAATGTATAGGAGCCTTTGAACCAAGTGAGAGAGTAATTGTGGTAGGGGACATGAATGCTAAAGTGAGGAGAACTTTTAGAGAGGGTGTGGTAGGTAAGTTTGGGGTGCCAGGTGTAAATGATAATGGGAGCCCTTTGATTGAACTTTGTATAGAAAGGGGTTTAGTTATAGGTAATACATATTTTAAGAAAAAGAGGATAAATAAGTATACAAGATATGATGTAGGGCGAAATGACAGTAGTTTGTTGGATTATGTATTGGTAGATAAAAGACTGTTGAGTAGACTTCAGGATGTACATGTTTATAGAGGGGCCACAGATATATCAGATCACTTTCTAGTTGTAGCTACACTGAGAGTAAAAGGTAGATGGGATACAAGGAGAATAGAAGCATCAGGGAAGAGAGAGGTGAATGTTTATAAACTAAAAGAGAGGCAGTTAGGGTAAGATATAAACAGCTATTGGAGGATAGATGGGCTAATGAGAGCATAGGCAATGGGGTCGAAGAGGTATGGGGTAGGTTTAAAAATGTAGTGTTAGAGTGTTCAGCAGAAGTTTGTGGTTACAGGAAAATGGGTGCGGGAGGGAAGAGGAGCGATTGGTGGAATGATGATGTAAAGAGAGTAGTAAGGGAGAAAAAGTTAGCATATGAGAAGTTTTTACAAAGTAGAAGTGATGCAAGGAGGGAAGAGTATATGGAGAAAAAGAGAGAGGTTAAGAGAGTGGTTGAAGCAATGTAAAAAGAGAGCAAATGAGAGAGTGGGTGAGATGTTATCAGCAAATTTTGTTGAAAATAAGAAAAAGTTTTGGAGTGAAATTAACAAGTTAAAAAACCCTTTAGAACAAATGGTTTTGTCAGTTAAAAAATAGGGAGGCGAGTTATTAAATGGAGAGTTAGAGGTTTTGGGGAAAAAAGTGGAGGGAAATTTTGAGGAATTGTTAAATGTTGATAAGATAGGGAAGCTGTATTTCGTGTATAGGACAAGGAGGAATAACTCTTGTAGGGGAGGAAGGCCGTTGTGAGTGTGGGGGAAGTTCGTGAGGCAGAAGTAAAATGAAAGGGGGTAAGGCACCGGGTTGATGGGAAAAAGATAGAAATTTTAAAAAGCAGGGGGGGATTAGTTTTGGATGGTTGGTGCAATTATTTAATAAATGTAGGGAAGAGGTAAGGTCCTAGGGATTGGCGGGAAGAGCATGCATAGTTCCTTTGTATAAAGGGAAAGGGATAAAAGAGAGTGCAAAAAATTTTAAGGGGGGTAAATTGCTGAGTATACTGTAAAGTGTATGGAGAGGTTATTATTTAAAGAATTAAGAGTAAGCGGAAAAATAGGATAGCAATGAAAAAGGAGGCTTTTGGAAAGGTAGGGGGTTGTGGGACCAAGTGTTTACAGTGAAAAATTTAATTTAAAAAGTATTTAGATAAAGGTAAAGAGGTCTTTGTGGATTTATGGATTTGGAAAGCATATGACAGGTGGATAAGGGGGGGAATGTGGCAGATGTTCAAAGGTATGGTTTAGGAGGTAGGTTACTGAAAGCATGAAGAGTTTTTACGAGGATAGTGGGTCAAGTTAAGTATTTTGGGAAAAAGGGAAATTATTTCCCCGTAAAGTAGGCCTTTGACAAAGGTGTGTGTGTCACGTGGTTGTTTAATATATTTATAGATGGGGTTTTAAGAGAATAAATGCGAGGGTCTTTGGGAAGAGGCGTGGGGTTAAAAAAATAAAAATCACACACAAATGGGGTTGTCACAGCTGCTCTTTTCGATGACACTGTGCTTTGGGAGATTTGAAGAGAAGTTTCAGAGTTTGGGGGATGAAATTTTGGGAGGGGGTGCAAAGAAGAAAATTAAAGGTGAATACAGGAAAGAGTAAGGTTATGAGGATAACAAAAAGATTAGGTGATGAAAGATTGAATATCAGATTGGAGGGAGAGAGTATGGAGGAGGTGAATGTATTCAGATATTTGGGAGTGGACGTGTCAGCGGATGGGTCTATGAAAGATGAGGTGAATCATAGAATTGATGAGGGGGAAAAGAGTGAGTGGTGCACTTAGGAGTCTGTGGAGACAAAGAACTTTGTCCTTGGAGGCAAAGAGGGGAATGTATGAGAGTATAGTTTTACCAACGCTTTTATATGGGTGTGAAGCATGGGTGATGAATGTTGCAGCGAGGAGAAGGCTGGAGGCAGTGGAGATGTCATGTCTGAGGGCAATGTGTGGTGTGAATATAATGCAGAGAATTCGTAGTTTGGAAGTTAGGAGGAGGTGCGGGCTTACCAAAACTGTTGTCCAGAGGGCTGAGGAAGGGTTGTTGAGGTGGTTCGGACATGTAGAGAGAATGGAGCGAAACAGAATGACTTCAAGAGTGTATCAGTCTGTAGTGGAAGGAAGGCGGGGTAGGGGTCGGCCTAGGAAAGGTTGGAGGGAGGGGGTAAAGGAGGTTTTGTGTGCGAGGGGCTTGGACTTCCAGCAGGCATGCGTGAGCGTGTTTGATAGGAGTGAATGGAGACAAATGGTTTTTAATACTTGACGTGCTGTTGGAGTGTGAGCAAAGTAACATTTATGAAGGGGCTCAGGGAAACCGGCAGGCCGGACTTGAGTCCTGGAGATGGGAAGTACAGTGCCTGCACTCTGAAGGAGGGGTGTTAATGTTGCAGTTTAAAAACTGTAGTGTAAAGCACCCTTCTGGCAAGACAGTGATGGAGTGAATGATGGTGAAAGTTTTTCTTTTTCGGGCCACCCTGCCTTGGTGGGAATCGGCCAGTGTGATAATAATAAAAAAAAATAAATAATAATGAGGCAGAATGATACTGCGCAATGAAACTAAGTACAGGTCCTTGTTGATAGTGGCTGTACTCTTATGTTATGCTGAAAACATTAATATTTTGTAAGTAAATTATGTAGATAAACATGATACAACGTGCTTCTGGTAATATATTTTTATATTTTTGTACCCGCGCCCGTTCAAAGTTATAGTGGCATTCTTATGATTTCCTTACTTGTTTTTTTTTAGGAAGACAAGCTACAAGAACAGTACATGGCATAAATATGCTAACAATGTATTTTTCAGAGGACAAGAACAGCTCTTGAAACCTTTCCCAGCTGTTCTCAGAATAACGTAGTCGTCAGCAGGTTTTCTGGACTCTCCCCTTATACTCTCAGTATAATGAAGTCGTCAGCAGCTTTTGAAACTTAGTCCTATTTCCATAATAAATAAGTCATCAGTTTTATATCTTCCTTCATGTCCCTGTATTTTTGGAAGATGAAGAAGGGAAAGATTTCACGTGCTCTAATATACGGAGCTTTCTCTAAAACTTAGTACTACCTTCGTTGTTTCACCAGAAGTAACATTATTATAAACTCACACAAGTTGACAAGGCCTCAACTACAACAACCAGCAACACTCCACACATTTTGACATACCTTTCTACTGCTATTGGTACTACTGCTACCACTAATGCAACTACCGCTACTACCACCACATACAGTACGTCGTCGCACTGCCTCTCTACAGTCACAACAATAAAAACTATTAACCAGCCCATCACACGCGTTGTGACACTCTCTCAACAATCACCACCAGAGGGGTAGTGGCCCAGGTCCCAGCAATGTGTACGTGAAAAACATGTAAGATTCCTTGTGTTGTCTCCTGCAGGCGTCGTGGCCACACAAGCTGGTCTATGCCAACTTGTGGCTCTTCAAGCCCCTGGTACAGGCGGTGATGGCCGGCAGGCGCGACACCAACGCTCTAGTCCGCACCACCACCGCAGTCACCATAGTCCGTGCTGGAACCAAGGTGAGTGTGAACGTAATTACCTACTTGTACCTACAAAAGCAAAGCTATGCTCCTGGTATCCCATTCATGTTGATTTGAGTTGAATCTATTGACCATCACGACTCCAGCAGTCGCCCAAACAATGTGTACGACCTGGTGACCATCACGACTCTAACAGTTGGCTTCAGTGTGTGTGTGTACTCACCTATTTGTGGTTGCAGGGGTCAAAACTCAGCTCCTGGCCCCGCCTTTTCACTGACCACTACTGGGTCCTCTCTCTCCCTGCTCCATGAGCTTCATCATACCTTGTCTTAAAACTATGTATGGTTCCTGCCTCCACTACATCACTTACCAGACTATTCCACTTCCTAACAACTCTATGGCTGTAGAAATACTTCCTAACATCCCTTTTGACTCATCTGAGTTTTCAACTTCCAGTTGTGACCCTTTGTTTCTGTATCCCATCTCTGGAACATCCTGTCTATGTCCACCTTATCTATCCCAAGCAGTATTTTGTATGTCGTTATCATGTCTCCCCTGACCCTCCTGCCCTCCAGTGTCGTCAGGCCGATTTCCCTTAACCTCTGTTCGTAGGACATTCCCCTTAGCTCTGGAACTAGCCTTGTTGCAAACTTTTGCATTTTCTCTAATTTCTTGACGTGCTTGACCAGGTGTGGGTTTCAAACTGGTGCTGTGTATTCCAGTATGGGCCTGTCGTACACGGTGTACAGAATCTTGAACGATTCCTTATTGAGGTATCGGAATGCTATTCTCAGGTTTGCCAGGCGCCCATATGCTGCAGCAGTTACCTGGTTAATGTGTGCTTCCGGAGACGTTCTCTGTATTATACTAACTCCTATATCTTTCTCCTTGAGTGAGGTTTGCAGTCTTTGGCCACCTAGCCTATACTCTGTCTCCGGTCTTCTTTGCCCTTCCCCGATCTTCATGACTTTGCATTTGGCGGGGTTAAATTCTAGGAACCATTTGCTGGACTACTCGTCCAGCCTGTCCAGGTCTCTTTGTAGTCCTGCCTGATCCGCATCTGATTTAATTCTCCTCATTAACTTCACATCATCTGCAAACGGGGACACTTCTGAGTCTATCCGTTCCGTCATGTCATTCACATATACCAAAAATAGCACTGGTCCCAGGACTGACCCCTGTGGGACCCCGCTCGTCACAGGCGCCCACTGTGATACCTCATCACGTACCATGACTCGCTGTTGCCTCCCTGTCAGGTATTCTCTGATTCATTGCAGTGCCCTTCCTGTTATACGTGCCTGATCCTCTAGCTTCTGCACTAATCTCTTATGAGGAACTGTGTCGAAGGCCTTCATGCAGTCCAAGAAAATGCAGTCATCCCACCCCTCTCTCTCATGTCTTGTGTTACCTTGCCATAAAACTCCAGTAGGTTTGTGACACAGGATTTGCCTTCCCTGAATTCGTTCTGGTTGTCGTTTATAGTCTTATTCCGTTCCAGGTCCTCCACCACTCTCCTCCTGATAATATTCTCCATGACTTTGCATACTATATACGCCAGCGACACTGGTCTATAGTTTAGTGCCTCGTTTCTGTCTCCTTTCTTAAAGATGAGGACTACATTTGCCGTCTTCCATACCTCAAGTAGTTGCCCAGTTTCAAGAGATGTGTTGAAAATTGTGGTTAGTGGCACACACAGTGTCTCTGCTCCCTCTCTAAGGACCCACGGAGAAATGTCCGGTCCCACCGCCTTTGAGGTATCAAGGTCACTCAGCAGCTTCCTCACCACCTCCTCGGTTGTGTGCATTTCATCCAACACTTGTTGGTATATCCCTTGTTGGTGTGCCCCTCTGTTTTGTCTTCCCAGTGTCCCTTCTGTCTCCACTGTTAAATACTTCCTTAAATCTCGTGTTGAGCTTCTCACTTCGTTTCTTGTGAGCTCCTCACCTTCTTTCCTCAGCCTGATTACCTGGTCCTTGACTGTTGTCTACCTCCTGATGTGGCTATAAAGCAGTTTCGGGTCAGACTTGATTTTCAGTGCTATGTTGTTTTCGTACTGTCGCTGGGCCTTCCTCCTTATCTGTGCATACTCGTTTCTGGCTCTTCGACTAATCTCTATTTTCCTGGGTCCTTTGCCTTCTGTACTTTTCCATGCTTTAGTGCACTTAGTTTTTGCCTCCCTACACCTTCGGGTAAACCAAGGGCTCATTCTGGTCTTCCCATTTCTGTTGCCCTTGGGAACAAACCTTTCAAATGCCTCCTTGCGTTTTGTTGTTACGTAGCCTATCATTTCGTTTATTGATTTTCCTACCAACTCTGTCCCACTGAACCTCCTGCAGAAAGTTCCTCATACCTGTGTAGTCCCCCCTTTTATAGTTTGCCTTTTCCCTTTCTACTCCTGTTACCCTCTTCACTTATAGCTCTACGATGTATTCAAAGCTTAGAACCATGTGATCACTAGCTCCAAGGGGCCTTTCATGTGTGATGTCCTCAATGTCTGAGTTACTCAGGGTGAACACGAGGTCCAGTCTTGCTGGTTCATTCTCCCCTCTCTGGTAGTGTCCCTAACATGTTGGTGCATGAGGTTTTCCGGCACCACATCCATCATCTTGGCTCTCAGTGTTTCGGGACTCCCATGTGGTTCCAGGTTTTCCCAGTCTCCCTGTGGTTGAAATCTCCCATAACCAGTAACTTTGCTCTACTCGAGTGAGCTCCTCTGGTGTGTGTGTGTGTGTGTGTGTGTGTGTGTGTGTGTGTGTGTGTGTGTGTGTGTGTGTGTGTGTGCGTGTGCGCGCGCTCGCGCGTTTTGTGTGTGTGTGAGGTCATTATGCACTCATATACTTACCTAGTTGTATTTTCAGAGCTCATGGACTTGCCTTTTAACTCTTACTGACAAGACTTTACTGAGTCCTTGCCTCTGGAGCCCTTTATTCACCCAGCAGTAACTAGGTACCTAGATGTTAGTCGCACTCTAAGGATGGAAATTTAACATTATACTTTGGTATGGCTTTCTGGGTTAAATAAATCTAGAATAAAGCAAATTATGCATATACCAGGAAAATGTGGTGCCCACATCAGCCAGTGCTGTGGTGAACCATCGCATCCACTCATCACACAACCTTGAAGACGTCCTTGACTACGACCGTTATATTATCGACGATCCCACCGTCAAGGTTAGTGACATGGCAATTAGTGTCGGTGACCCCCCACAGTTAGGATCAGTGGTTCCATAGTTAGGATTAGTGGCTCCAGTTAGAATCAATGGTTCCACAGTTCGGATCAGTGGTTCCACATTTAGGATCAGTGGCTCTACAGTTAGAATTAGACTCAGTAACCTCACAGTTAAAGGTACTGTGGGGTTACCGAGTCTAATTCTAACATTTAAGATCACTGACCCCCACAGTTAAGATCAGTGACACCCCACAGTTAAGGTCAGTAGTCCCCACAATTTAGCTGATCAAGTCTTATTATAATATCGACCACCAGTCTATTTATAATGCTCAGCGTGGTTCATCACGCACCTGGTCCACACACCTTGCTCTTAACCCTCACCATACTCTTCGAGGAGGAGGTGCCTCCATACTGCTCAGGTGCTCTTGATTCGAAGAGTTAGAGCTACCCTCGACCTCTTCGGATCAATCCTCATTTCGTACCATTTCTCAGGGTTTATTTACGGGTTCACTGAATAAAAGTTAATTTGAACTTCTATATAACCAGTTCAACAAAATTTATATTAAGAAGGGAAATAATGTTGTGTATATTTTTAAGTTTAATACATTCGGGATTTATAGCTTTAGAATATAATGGGTAACAGAAATATGGAATTAGCACCATAAATATTTATGAACGCTGTAAATATCTTTAAGGAAAGTTTAGCAGCATTCGACATTTGTTGTAATTGGTTTATTCCTGAGTACTGTAACATCTGAGATAGATAGTAACTGAAATGGATGTTATTATTATTATTATTATTAGCCAAGGTGGTTGTGAACAGTGTTTAGGTTTGTAGATGAATGGTTCAGAGAACCGACATGTTGATAAATTAGACACATGTGCAACTCTTGGGTATCTTTATTGATACCCAAGATACCCAAGAGTTGCACATGTGTCTAATTTATCAGTGTTTAGGTTCACCCAGAACAGGAGGCACTGCCCAGTTAATTGGTACAGGGAATAACTCCGTAAATAAAGGATATTATAAATATTTATATCTAAGACTGAATAAAAGAATATTTATATTAATGTGTGTGTGTGTTGTGCTGTGGTATGGAGTAGCTGAATGTGAAGGACGGGATGCGTCCTCTCCCTGTGTCACCGTACGGCGCTGAGGTGGACGGATGGCGACTCATCACTGCTGCCATACATCACCACTTCCCGTCAACCGTCACAGCACCAGGTGTGTATTCATACACAACAGCGAAGAGACGGGGCCAGGAGCTATGTCTCGACCCATGCAATTACAAATCAGTGGGTACACACGCATACATATGCCCCACAACACAATGAATATATTGTCTAATATAAATTATAAAATAATACAGTTAACTGTAGTAGGATAATAACAGGCTAACAGAAGTAATGATAGGCTATTAAATGTAATATTAGTAGACCAATACAGGTAAGGATAGACTATTAGAAGTACTATTAGTAGACTAATAAAATAATAGTACGCTGAAAGAAGAAATATTGAAAACCAAGAGATATTAACATGTTAAGGTAAATAAAATGGTAGAAATAATAAAAGTATTGCAGTATCTAGCAGTTTCCTATACACTTGGAATATAACAAAATATTTCAATAATTGTCAGTGGTGAGAAACATTTTTGTTAATATTGAGAATTAAAAATGTTTTGATTCATAAAAAAATAAGTATTCTTCCTCGAAGCTTTTTATTTACATCTCTGAAGTCCCACAATTTGCACTAGAGGTGGACCCTATGTACTATATGTATATATGTCGTGCCGAATAGATAAAACTAGTAAGTTAGCAAGAACTCATTTAAAATTAAGTTCTTTCTAAAGTTTTCTCTTATATACGTTTAAAGATATATTTTTTTTATGTTAATGTAAAAATTAATCATTTTGTACCAAAAGCACCTTAGGAAACTTACCTAACCTTATTATATCAAGCGCAGTTTAATTTAGCCTAATCCAACTAAATATATTTTAGATAAGTTTACAATAATTTAATTAACAAACACAATGAAATATTTTTTTCGTTAGGTTCAGAATGATTTTTGCTAAATTATTGCATACACAAATTTTCGCTTACCATATTCGGCTTTGGCTTAAATAGCAAAGCTCTTCTTGCCGAATAAGGCAAGCGAAAATTTGTGTATGCAATAATTTCGCAAAAATCATTTTGAACCTAACGAAAAAAATATTTCATTTTATTTTTTTTATCACACTGGCCGATTCCCACCAAGGCAGGGTGGCCCGAAAAAGAAAAACTTTCACCATCATTCACTCCATTCATTGTGTTTGTTAATTAAATTATTGTAAACTTATCTAAAATATATTTAGTTGGATTAGGCTAAATTAAATAATATATATATATATATATATATATATATATATATATAATATATATATATATATATATATATATATATATATATATATATATATATATATATGCAAAACAACCACTCTGAAAGAATAGAGAAATTCCAAGCGCTTTCGTGACTACTCACATTATCAAGGAACTATGAAAGTAAAGCATCCAAGGAAGCTATATAAGGGGTCTGGCCAGCACCTCACTATCAGATCCCACAACGGTTAAACACCTGATGCGCGCCGACCCAACTGGACAGGTCCTTTGCACAACTCACCCACAAACTATTCTACCCAAGAAAATTTAAAAATTATTATTTGTCCAGTGTATTATTAAATTCTTCCCAAATTCTATTAATTATAAATGGATCTAATTTATATAAACCAAAGGAAATATTCATATTATTGTCAAAACTGCTTTTTATGAAACAAGATTCAATTATATTCCTGTCGACCATGGACTTGCTTGATACTACTTTCTCAACTTTTTGAAAATCAATTGGATGGTTAAAATCTCTTACATGAATAAATAGAGCATTGGAATCTTGTAAGAGATTTTAACCATCCAATTGATTTTCAAAAAGTTGAGAAAGTAGTATCAAGCAAGTCCATGGTCGACAGGAATATAATTGAATCTTGTTTCATAAAAAGCAGTTTTGACAATAATATGAATATTTCCTTTGGTTTATATAAATTAGATCCATTTATAATTAATAGAATTTGGGAAGAATTTAATAATACACTGGACAAATAATAATTTTTAAATTTTCTTGGGTAGAATAGTTTGTGGGTGAGTTGTGCAAAGGACCTGTCCAGTTGGGTCGGCGCGCATCAGGTGTTTAACCGTTGTGGGATCTGATAGTGAGGTGCTGGCCAGACCCTTATATAGCTTCCTTGGATGCTTTACTTTCATTAGTTCCTTGATAATGTGAGTAGTCACGAAAGCGCTTGGAATTTCTCTATTCTTTCAGAGTGGTTGTTTTGTTTTGCATATTCTGAAATCACCTGTTTACTGTGATCTATTGCAATATATATATATATTATATATATATATATATATATATATATATATATATTTTATATTATATATATATATATATTTTATGTGTGTGTGTTATAGTGCAAATGAAATGCTACATAAGGTAAATTTAATATACAGTTCATACAGATTTTTCACATTTTATAGCCTACAATAAGGTTTTGTTAGCACTTGTTACTGAACAACTATAAGAGGGTCCAGGATGTGTAGTTTTTGTTTGATTAACATCCTTTAAACTGCAGGTGATATGAAGGCTACAAGGCTGCCTGTTATACAATTATTATTATATTATAATCAAAAGGAAGCGCTAAGCCACAAGGGCTATACAGCGCCTGTTATACAAGACACTTTTGCTTTACTATTTCATCGTAAGTTTAATTTTTCACTTTTGAGGGTAATTTAAAATTAATTAGTGAACTTTTAAATTTTGTTTTTTTTTTGCCGCTCTGATGTACCGTGATGTCAGAGGCTGCTGGTCTATTAGTTTTTCAGTCATATTTTCTCATGTTCTTTGTGGATAGGGAAAGTTCCTATGGGTGTTCTGTGATTAAAGTGACTGTTATAAGTAAAAATATTGGAGGAGCGGGGAAACACCACTGAACATCATGTTATAGGCTTGTGTGTGTGTGTGTGTGTGATACGTAAGTATTCTTAGGTGGGAGCATATTCACTGTGACTGACTCCGTGAGATTCTCTGCAGCTGTCATGGTGGCCAACACTGACTCTGTGTACTACTTAAACCTCACTTCCTGCGTCTACCGCTTCTTCCCCATCAACTTGAAAAGTAATGACTTATCACGAATCCACGGCGCCAACGAGCGCATCTCCGTCAGCCAGTTCTTACAAGCGACCCGCTTCTACCACAGGGTGATGGTGTGGGCAGGTGGGGCAGTATCACGCCCCCACCATCAATAATATTAGCTCAGTTAAAAGGGTCCCACTGCCTCTGCCTTAGAAACCAGGCTGGAAATATTGTATGATAGCACCTTGCGGTTGTTGGCTGTTTTTTTCAATGGTGCAGTGTTAAAGTGCTTTTTTTAAAATTTTA